AAAAAAAAAAAAAAAAAAAAAAAAAAAAAAAAAAAAAAAAAAAAAAAAAAAAAAGATATCTGACCAGTTATGTCACACCCTGAATTTCGAGGCATCGAAAGATTGGGGGTGACAAAATGGTATCAGAGCCAGACACTAAACAATGTGCCAGCAAGTACTCTGGCCCCGTACAGGGGATGGATTGTGAGATCTCACATCGGTTAGAGAGAAGAACGAAGCACTCTTTATAAAGGTGTGGAAACCTCTCCCTACCAAACGTGTTTTAAAACCGTGTTGACAGCAATATCTAATAAGCTAAAGCTTATAATATCTAGTAAAACTCTCGAGAATATACCATTTTGATCAGTAACATTTTATAATTTATATTTTAATTTTTAAAATTTAAAATTTAAAAATTTATTTTTATTAAAATGTCTATCAAAATTTTTAAACTTTATTTATAAACAACCATTATATACGAATTAGGAGTGTACATTCAACTCAATGACTCGACAACTCGAACCAACCCAACCCAAACTATAAGAGTTAAGTTGGATTAGCATTTTGGGTAGAGTTGGATTCATTTTTCTAAACTCGAACGGAATCGGTTCGATATCAAGTTCGTGGATAAAAACTTCGAGTTGACCCGAACCAAATAAAAATATATAAATTATATTAAGAATTTTTTTTTTGTATTAATAGGTTTGCGAAGTGGTACCTTGACCTCTCTAAGAACACTCCTGCTTGAGTTTGGCTAGAGATATATATTTTTTTATTATTTTTAATTTCATATACGGTTTAGTTTAGGACTCTCTAACTTTTATATTTTAACTTTATCGAGATCACACATATTACAATTAAAATATTTGGTAGTATTTTTATTTTATTTTTTGTTATGTACCATCTTTTTAAACTAATCATTTTTATTGTTTATTTAATTTGACAATCTATCGTTATATTTTTCTTACTTCAACTAATTCTCAAGAAATGTCGGTATTTAGCTGTCTTTCATGTTATGATAATGTTAAACTATGTTAATATGTTATAATTTTCGCGTGTTGTTTTTATTGATTTTTTTTATGCGAATAATTATAGATGGATTTGTATTTGTTTGTGAACTTTTTAATATATTTTATTTAAGATGGTATCGGAATAATTAGAAATTGGCATAAATAAAAATTAAAAAAAAAAATTTGACACAACCTAACCCAAACTCAACCGGGTTACCAATCCAACTAACCCGAACTTTGGGTTGGGTCAAAAAAATCTCTCAACCCAACCCAATCCAGACAATGTACACCCCTAATACGAATTGTCCATAAATTGATGAAGGTAAATATAAGATAGGTCGATATATTAATTAAGCGACAAAATGAACAATAAATATAAAAAAATAATAATAATAATACACGTGAAAATTAAAACAGGCCCGTTAAAAGAGTTGGGAGTTTTTTCTTTATTATTATTATTATTCATTTATTAAAATAATAAAATAAAAAATAATTTAAAAAAAAAAAAAAAAAAAAAAAACCTTTAGGCGCGTGCAATGTAATCAAAACCAAAACGACAACACTTTCCTTTCATTCTTTCTATCTAATTATACTTTCTATTTTATTTTCAATTTGTATTATTTTTTGGAATCCAATGTTATTATTTCATTAAATATAATGATATCAAATCCTTTCTTTTTCACTTATAATATTACTCAATTTACACGCTAATCGTGTTTAAATGTCCTAACGA